AAAAAGGGATGGGGAATGTAACTTAATATGCAGGGCCTGGACTGTATCCCTAGTAACCTCCTACCCCATTAGTGCATTCTCTCAGTTTTAATGAGCCTATGTCTTTGGGATTAATACATTCCCTGTAATATGAAAGGTTATTGTTTTCATGTAATCTGAATTTTTGTGCTTTATATTTATTTTGTCTCTGATTATTATTACTATTATTATTTTGTACCAGGGATCGAACTCAGGAACTTATGCTTGTGAGGCAGGCATGGTGCCACTAAGCTAAATACCCAGCCTTTCTCTCTGATTGTTTAAAGAAACAAAACAGCAAAGAATAACAATCTCTTACTTGAAGAATTACTCAAGCATGTTATAAGCATGCTGTTTATAAACATGTTATCTTCTCTATTTTCAAATATTTTATTGTTATTAGAAAAATTAAGTAACCCAGTACTGTTTCTCAGATACATATGAAATTATATTAATCAAATGTTTATCTTTTCTGATAAACTCTTTTGGTTTTGCCTTCTAAATTTAGGAAATATTTTTCAGAAAATCTTTTTTCTTTTCTTTTTTGTGTTTTTTGAGATAAGGTTTTGCTTTGTAGAGCAGGCTAACCCTGAACTCATTATGTAGTCCAGACTGGTCTCAAACTCATGGAGATCCTCCTGCCTCAGTCTCATGAATGTTGGGATTACACATGTATGCTACTGTGCCAAGCCAGAATATCTTTTACATATGAAATTATCTTTGAAATTTTCTAGAAAAATCACATATTTGTCCTCCCTTTTTATAAAAAGGGATGCTAGAAATCATTAGGTTTATTTGATATGCTATAATTTTAAGAGTTTTATGGGAGGAGCTGTGAACCTGAGATGCTCAGTCTAACCTAGGTTAGATTTATGTATGTAAATTTGTATTAATATGACTACCTCAGAATTGTTAGCTCTATGGGCTCAGTCCCTGGAGATGTGACAATGCCCCTGCTATTTTACTCTCAGAGAAGACACTGATAAAACTTTTATGAAACTGGATAGGATGTAGCTCAGTGTTAGAATGCTTGTCTAGTATGCATCAGGTACTGGGTTTGGTCCACAGCACTGCAAAAAGAAAAAAAAAAAACAACCCCACAAACTTGTATGAAATAGTTTGATACTATATTTGATAGAAATTTTACTTATCCAATATTCTGATATTATTAGAATAAATAGCCATTAAGAATTTGTTATCTATAGAAAGCTTATGCCTGAAAGCTATGTTATAAGCACAGTTAATAACTTGTGTCTGGGACAAAGATTCAAAGTGCTAAGGAAAAGAGCTGTAATAGGGACTTTAAACTACTGATATTTTAAAGAATAGCCTCTTGGATACAGGTTTCTGTAGTGATATACCTTAGAAAACTTTTATATGGCACCAGTTCACTGAGTCAATAATTCCAGAACTCTTTAGTTTGGAAGCAGACAGTTTTGTGAAAGCAAATTGCTAACCTGAGATCTAGCATAACAAAAATGAGATAAGGCTGAATAAAATGATAAATAAAACTTGAGTGTGTTTATTTATCTGGGATACTGTTAGTTTCAAATATTTTGCAGCTGCATGGCTCTGTATTCACAAAACAAATTCAAGGGGATTTATATAGTTAAGTAACACTCTTGTATTCAAATCTGGGCAAATTTAATCAGAGTAGACTTTTTGTGGCCAATGATATGTTTATAATTATTTTGGTCATGTCGGAAGTGGAGACACTGTTGGGAAAAATTAGAAGACCTTAAAACGGACAAAGAGATTACTTATATTGTTTAGTATATCCATCTGGGTAACTGATACCTTTCATTGTTTTTGAACAATTTCATAATTTTGTAGGGTGTGGAAAACTTATAGCAATGCATATGATTCTTTAGTTTTCATGGTAAAAAGCAGTTTCAGTACTATTTAACTGAAACTTTCAGTGTTCTGGAAGGATACAAACCTCTTTGAAAAAGATATGTGGGGCAGGATAAGGTAAAGTCGGGAGCAATTTTTAGGGAAGAAACCATGAAACAGTTAATTTCTCCTTGGCATGGAGGTCAATGGTACCTGCAAGCAACAGGGGCCTCTCCTTCCACTCTGCTCAGCAGGCAATAAATATGCTGCTTGAGGTGGCCACACTTTAGGAGAGGCGGCTGTGAAAACACAGAAGGCTGGCTGCCCTGAGGCACCTAGCCACCCCATGATTCCAGAGCTGCTAGCATAGCCCAAACGGAGACCTAAGATACATACATTTTTTATCTTCTTCGTTCAACTTTGGTAATTAATAAGCATCAAGAAATCTGTCCATTTCTTCTGTTTTCCATTTTATTAGAACACACGTTCTCGAAGTAGGTATTGGTGATCCTCTGGATTTCTGCTGGATCTGCATGGATCTCAGCCTTTTCTTTCCTTTCTTTGACAAAGTTGGCTAAGGGTTTATCGATTTTATTTATTCTTTTGAAAAACCAACTTTTTGATTCATCGATTTTTTTTTGTATAATTCTCTTAATCTCCATTGCATTGATTTATGCTCTGATTTTTATAATTTCCTCCCTTGTACGAGCTTTGGGTTTTTCTTGCTCTTCTTTTTCTAGGAGCCTAAGATTCATCATTTAGGTTATTTGCACTTGCTCTGTTTTCCTAGTGTGGGCGTTCACTGCTATGAATTTTCCACAAAGAACTGCTTTCGTTGTCTCCCATAGATTCCTGTATGTTGTACTGGCATTATCATTTATTTGCAAAAACTGACTAATTTCTTCTTTAATTTCCTCTGTGACCCATAAAGACCTAAGATATGATGGAACAACCAAAACACTCTAGATGTTTCCAAGGAGGCTAATGACCAGATGTGTCTTCTTGACCCTTCTGTGTGGCTTAATCACTTCCAGGTTTCTTGGCTTAATGCTTAGAGGAAGTGAGTCTTAGTCATGACTTAAATAAAATTTCCTTACAGTTCTGTAGCACAGGTGCTCCTAGTATGATTTACATGGAATCAAAAAAATTTCTTGTATACCTGAGCTTTTACTCTTAAAGAGTCATGGTTGCATCATAATGCTTCTGGATCTTTCTTATCTGCCTGTCTTTTTAGTGACTGACTTTTAGGTTGAGCTCTTGGGTTGAAGAAGATGTTCTATATTTCATGCTTTTCTTTCTTCCTGTTCCAAAATACACTAAAATTCTTTCTGGGACTGCTTGGCACGCAGGAATTTGCTACATATGTTTACCTCTTTTCCTAGCTCCTCTATTATCTCATTACTACTGCATAAATTAAGAAGGGCAATTATTATCTCCTAGGGAATACTTTGGGATGTCCAGGTCCTAAAATCTCTTTCCTAGTAAATTAAAGGTATATATGAATGTTTTATCACATAGAGACAGTAAAGTAAATAAAACAATTATCTTCAATTATATTGTCCTTGTTTAAATGTAAGCAAAGTCCTAGGATAACTGACATGCTTGTTATCACTAATACTGAAGGTTAGGTTCAGAAGTGTCTTTCCTACCACAACTGAGCCATAACTGCATAAGATTGTGTGTCTTATAAGTTTGTTGTCTCTCTATAAATACTAGAAGAGATAAACATTAGGTCTGTGAAGTAAGTATTATCCTACAACTTATTAGGAACAAAGATAAATTCCATACAAAATAATCTTGGAAATAGCAAGTGTAACACTTAAATAGTCCTGACTTAATAGTGTGTTTTTGTGGTACTGAGTGCAGTATGACAGTAATGTGAACAGACATATTGCAAATGATTTTTTATATCTCTACAGTGCAGACCTTAGCCTCCAGCTTCTGTGGTCTCAGGAGAGGTCTGCAGCAATTTGTTTTACCTGGAGCTAAAGGCTTCTGGGAGACTCTGAGGAGAGACTAGTCCAGGCACCTGTCTGTTACAAGAGTATCTATCCACATACCAATAGTTTTACTCTTGGATAAAGTGTGTCTTGGACTGAGTTTCTTTTTTTCTGTTGATTTGGTAGCTGAAGTGCTATTCTCAAATGCTCTAGATACTGTTCTCAAATACTAAAGATTGTGAGTGGAAAGTAGGCATTCTGCTCAATGTGCTGAATTCTAACATTTGCTCTCAGAGCCTAGAGAGTTTACTGTCTGAACAGGTTATAAATTTAGGCAGCGATCAAGAACTATCACATATACATATGACCTAGCTTAAAATAAACCAAAATTTTAGAAAATATGAATTTCAGCAAAAACTATTATGATAACACTATTATAATTTTGTAGTTTAAGTCATTAATATGGCATAAAATAATATGAGCAAGGGATTACAGGCTGGCAAAACTTATGTGATCTGAAATATTTTTGAACAAAAAACATAAATTGGCTACTATAGTAAAGAATATTTTACTCTAATAACATTAGTCAGGAGATCCAACTATCATTACAGTCATCCGATTTCAGTAATGTATATATAAACTTAATGACACTGAAATATTCACTGGAATTTTTATAGGACTAAGCATATATTATGTGAATATATTAGGTCCTTAAAATCCCTTGTGTGTGTGTGTGTGTGTGTGTATAGAGTTTCAATGATATAACAGAAGGGTAAAAGGAATGCCTAATCCTCTCTTTCTCCCCTACAGGGAAGGAAAGCTATAAGATCTTGGTAATATTGGGAATATGTTGTGGGTGAGACAACTGGCTCTGTGAGGTCACGTTTAAATTTAAGTCAGAGGGAGGATTTTGTAGTTTTACCTTGGGCAAAACTATCACATATAAAGGAATTACAATGCAGTGAAACTGAGAGAAAGCCAAACCAGAAGTCTCCAGAGAAATGGCAAAAACCATTCTGTAATTGGTGGGTTGTCCTCCAGGCTGGTCCTCAGGCACGTTTCCTGATCTCCTTTGTACCATCCTTTTTAAAGACACCAATAATTTGTGGGACCTAATTTGTAGATATCAGATGCCAACCATACTGTCGTTAATCAACCATATGCAAAGATATTAAGTAGATAAATCTTCAAGAACACAGTTTTCCATACCTTTTCTCCCATGGATACACCCCCTGATGTGATGATGACATCAGCACGACTGATTCCTTCATTCAAGGCATTGAGTAAGTCATCAGGGCTGGAAAAAATAAAGACAAAAAAGTTAATATGCAAGGAAAATATTTTAGATATAGTGCTAACTTAAAGCTATTTTATTTGCTGAGTAGGTATGAGTATGAGTGTAGCAATATATTCTGTAGGAAGTGGGAATCAAAAGGCTCCCTTGATGGGTGTGTTGTCCAGCACTCTAGGAAGCTGAGGCAGGAGGATTGCCAGATAAGCCCAGCCTCGGTAATTTAGAGATTCAGTGAGACTGTCAAAAAATAAAAAGGATTGGGAATGTAGCTCATTGTTAAGGTCTTGGGTTAGATCTTCAGTACCAAAAAAGAAATAAAAAGGTCTTTGTGCAACAGGAACATAAGTTTTATTATGGATAAGATCCTCATAAGAACTGAAGTAGTGATCACCAGTGCTTTCACAGGTTTTTTTGTTCTAACAAGGGAGTAGGATGAGGGGAAGCAATGAGATGTTACAGGATGTCTCACTGTTTTGGTTATCCTATTTTTAGAGCTGAAAGTCACATGTCTTCAGAAATTCCAGGCAAATCAGCAGTTGTTCACCTTAGACTGGAAAGACCACATAAGACTCTTTAGGGAGAATGACTTCAGGGAGGTCCTGAGAAATGGGTCAGCTTTTGAGAGGTGGAAAGGAATAAGAAGGGGCTAAGCAAGAGGATCCAGGAACTGTGATTAAGCTTTGGTATTTCTAGATCAGTATAGACAATAGGTTGGCAAGAAGGATGGTACCTGACTGGAAATTAGAAATAGGTAGGATGAGGCATAATTACCAAGGGTTCTCAAGTTTAAGAATAGGAAGTACATTTAACCAGAAATAAGAGAGGATCTCTAGAAATATGAAGAGTAAGTAAGGTTTTCCTTTAGAAAAAAGTACAGAAAAAAAAAAGACAAGAAAGGCATAGATTCTATGAACTATTTTGAGAGGAAGACAGGATGATAATTAGGGATTAAAACTAGGCACATTCCAGACTGGCAGATAAAAAGGCAAGTATATCAATGTATCAGGCCTTTTATTTTTCCTTTTTGTAATACCGAAAACTGATCCCAGGGCCTTTGCAACTAAGCCCATTTTTGTATTTTTTATTTTGAGACAGGGTATTGTTAAATCACTTAAGTTATTTAGGCTAGGCTCAAACTTTTGATATACCTGCCTCGGACTCTCACAGTGCTGGGATTACAGGCATGGCCACCACATTAGCATGTCAGGCCTTTGATGGCATTTATCAAAGCCCTGGGGAGGAAAAACAGAAATCAAGAGCCCCATCCTCTGGATTTTAAAAGGATTGAAAAAGCCTATCTTGGGATTGGTCAAATCAAAATATGACAAACATCAGAATTTAAGGAGGGACAGGATGGCAGGGCATAGGTGAAAGGAACTATTAAGTCACTACTTTAATCCATACAAAGTTACTGGGCTATCTGCATTTAATTTTTCCCTTCAACTGATGGGATTGTAGAAAAGGTACTTTTCAGGAGTATATATCCAACCCACACTCTTACTTTCTGAGAACTGCCATATATGGAGGAGAGAGTTGTTTCTCTTTATACTCTGACTCTTTATTTCCCTCTCTCTTATGGACATCATCTGGAAAGGGAATGATCACAGTTTTTAATTTTCTAGCTTCTGCTTTTAGTCTTTCTTTAGGCTCAGCCTGCATTCTCGCTCTATGATTTTGTAAGATATCACTGTATCCTCCCATAACTCTCAATCTCTCCTTTGCTTAAACTAGCTTTGGCAAGTTTCAGGTGATTTCTCGATGAGATAGCATGTTCTCTCAAACCTCTCATGTAAAGTTGAATGTCCTTCACCCTAATGTACTACTTGATGTATTTAATGAGAGAAAGAAGAACAGTGACAGACTCCAGGTGGCAAGAATTGTAAGTAGAATATCATCCCACTTTTTAAATCCAGGCATGAAAGAGGTATCAGACATACTATCTTCCCAGGCTCTATAAGAGATAGATATATGCCATCTGGGAGTGGCATAGCACAGAGATTGAGTGTGTGAACTCTAGAGGAAGGCTGCCTGTGCTTAAATTCTGTTATCACTACTCACTATTGTAAAGCTTTGGAAAAACTGACTAATTCTCTCTTTGCCTCAGATTTTCACCTTTAAAGTAATAATAGAATTGTTATGAGGATTAATGGCATAATGCTTACAGAACAGTTGAAATAGTACCTGGAACAAACCAAGTTTAAGAAAGGTTAGTTGTTTTCATTAGTATTGCTGCTGTACTGGGAGAAATTAAGCACATAAACAAATCCAACAATCTGGTACAGTAGAACTTAAGCATACTTGGCAGTGTTGATTCTGGAGACTATCCATGACTAACACTGATGGAAATCTTGGGTCGGGACTTAATACATTCACAGAGGTACCCGTGAAAGGTCAAAATGGCAAGACAGTATAACTGAGAGGTTAAAATGGATCTTTAAAGACTAGGATTTTTGTTTTTAAGATAAACTGTTTCTCTATGCTTCCTCATGGCTGAGAATGTGAATTGCTATCCTCCAGGACTAATACTAAGGAGAATTCAATATTTCTTGTCCTCTGGACCAAAGCTTGGCTAAATCTGTGTTCAGATATTTCCTGGCCTTTTGTTTTATCTCTTCCTATAAATTGGAGTTCTTTTATTTGTAGGGGGGTGGAGTAGCTGCCCTCCCAGCTTGATCAAGTTTCAAGGAAACTAATTTTTTCCATTTTCATGGATTCTTCTCATACTTCTAGTTGTGGACATGCAAATCCAGAAACCCAGATTTGGGCCTGACCAAGCCCCAGCCAGTAAAAGTATACCATTTCCAGCTTAAATTCTTTCATTTACTTTTAGATTCTCTTACAGAATCTGGATAAAATTTCCTTTTCTTGGAGTACTGGTCTGTGTACTGGGTTTTTTCCAGTTCTGGGAAGCAACCTCCCAAGAAGGAACAAAAATAAAAGTTTGAAAACAGGCTTGTATGAGGTTCAGCCTGACAACATGACTTTCGAGTCATACAGTTCATTGCTTACAGAGCCACAAAGTACCCAGATTTTCAATGAAGGCAGAATCTGTGTGTAAAGTACGAAATTTTAAAAAATGCCTGACATGGATTTCAAAGTTAAGCTGGTTAGGCAAGCATCTAAGAGGCACTATATTGAATAACGAGTATATTTAAAGTGTCTTTGAACTAAGTATTTTGAGAAGATTTCTCATTAATCCTTTTTATTTTGCTTTAGGGAAAAATTATTCTGTTATACTTTGTAAAATTTATGTGATGATTTCCTAATGGGCTCCTTGCCTTGCTGTATCATACTGTCATTAAGCTCAGACAAATGGATGACCCAAGGAAAATATCATAAACATAGCACCATGTAGAATATGGTTCAGATGAATGGATAAGAAGTATTATCAACAAAATTCAATTCTAATTTCAACAGTCTTATAATACATAACATGTCACCTCTATGGGATATTGTAGAACCATTAGACACAAAGCAGCAATGCCACGCACACAATTATGGTTCTAATCTTTGTAGGCAGATTAAGTCTTGGCTAGCTGCTGATGAACTAGCAAATAATTATACTTTTTAGTATTTTTTTTTTTTACTCATTGTTTTCATATCTGGGAACTTTTTCCTATTTTGTAAATCTATTGAGTCATCAAATATCTACATGAAATTTTGTAATTTGCAAAAATAACAGCACCTTAGCAAGACTATGTCTCAAAATAAAAAGTAAACAAAAAGGCTGATGATGTAGCTCAGTGTGAAGGCCTTGGGTTAAATCTGTAGTACCACAACCACTAGGGGGGAAAAAAAACAACCGGAAAAGAAGACAATAATGTTAGTATCCCAAGAGAACAATATTTTTCACATTTATATGTTAATATAGGCAGGACAAGAGGACACTGCAGTTCACAGAGGCAGGAACAGGTTCAAAGTGTTTTTCAAGACAATTTGTAGAAGACAATTCATCACACATAATATACCCTCAGATAAGTTTTTAAATCATTATTTATCTAAATATATAAATGAGATCTGTGTTTGCCAAGTAGTGATACAAAAAAATTGTACCTTTAACATTTAACATATTTTTTTTCCCATTTCCACTAGAGGGGCTATTGGATCAAACAGATTTAAGTTTTCTAGGTAAATACTAGTGGTTTGTTTCCCTTTTCTCAAATAACAAATATTATAGTATCATTTGAATTGTTCATTAACATGTACAGTTTAAATTAAATCTGGATGGTAATTAACAACTTCTTTAAAGATAGTTCTAATATTAGTATTAATCTTGATTTACTTGACTTTTACTCATTCTCCTTTTTTATTATTTACCTCTTTTTTTCCTTAATTTTAAAATTTTTGTTAGCTCACATTTGCAGTACACAATGATTACATTCATTGTGGGGAACTGGTACTGTATATAACACATCTCAATTCTTCTCCCTCCCTTCTCCATCCTCATTTTCATTTGAATTCTTAAATACCTGCCCACTGTTCTCTTAGAGTACTACTTTACACAAAAACATTCTACAAGTGTTACCTAGGAGTGTAAGAACTAGGTGACAGAGGATACAGCCATTAACTGAAGGCTTGAGTGTCACAAAGTTGAGAATCTAGTTTTATCTCTTTTACTAACTACCTAGATGAAACTGAAAAACTAACTTTTTAAGGGGTTGCCAAATGAGGACATTTGGGTGAGGACCTTTCCATCAACAACATTCACTGATCCTAAGTACTTGAGGCTGGTGGGGATACAGTTCAAGTGCATACATAGTGCTTCCAAGTTGACTCAGAAGTCTACTTAAAATATCAAATTGCCCTCTCTCTAAAGTTGGGGGGAAAAAAAAGAAAGCAAAGTCCTTCTGCGGGTTGAATTGCACTTTTGGGCCAGGGATTTACCTCAGTGGTTCTGCCGCCTACCTCCCAAGCACAAGGGCCCGAGTTTGACCCCTGGTACCAAAAAAAAAAAAAAAAAAAAAAAAAAAAAAAAAAAAAAAGTTGGGGAAATCCAGCCTTTA